AGTTTCTGTGTTAAGAGACTTGAGGTATCTTTTTGTGCTGAATCCTTTTCCTTAATGCCGCAAAAGATGTTTTCTATAACAGTTGTTGATAAAATCTTTATTTCTTGTTTTTGTGATTTTTGAAATTGTTGATCAGCAGAAAGAGTTTTTTGATAAGTTATCTTTATTAGCTACGTCAAATTTAATTGTTTTTCAATTTATTTTATCAATTGTTAAAAGTTATAAAAATTTAGCATTACTGTAATTTATAAACTTAGCATTGTATAAACAAACTTAGACCTTAATAAATGGTGATTCAGATTTATTTTCACAGGAATTTCCTAAATGAGACACAATAAAACCAAGACACACATTTGAATTTTCGAAGATCTCACCAAATATAACAATCTAATAAATTATTTATTATACAGTTAGACCTCTCTAATAAAGGCGAATTTTGGATATAAAAAGTTCAAATATACAGGTGAATATGAATATGTTTTATCTAATATTGAATTTAGTACCATCATTGTTGAAGATAAATGGGATGACATTTTAAGATTCATGAATATAAAATTTTGAAAATAGAACAATAGAACAAAAACTTGATTTTTTGTCTTCACATAAAAAAAATTTGTTTAATTACTTTTAAATATAGTATTAGACTTGTGTTTATTGCGCAAAAAATTTTGCAAATAAGTTAATTACAAATAAAGATTTCCAAAATTCCCTTTTATTTTCGCTTTTTATCTTTGCTCATAAATTCATTCTTATTCTTATTTATAACCTCATATTTTTAACATCTTTAGCATAGTTTTTAGCATCATTCAATTGTCTTAATAAATTAGCTGCTTTTTCATGACCATGATCTGCGGATGTTTTTAAATACTTCATTCCAAACTACTTATCTGACTGTACTCTAAGTTTTTCGTTAATATAAATATCTGCCAAGTAATACATTGCATCAACGTTTTTATTGTTAGCAGCCAATTTAAAATAATGTAAAATTTCAATTCTGTTCTCTTCTTTTTTGGAATCAGGATCAGCTTTTTTTCATTTTTTACCAATTATTTTTGAAACATCATTATTGCAAATACCCTTATTTACAGCAACTATTTTTAGTTTTAGCTTTTAGTTCATTAGTACTTCGCAGAGATGGTAATGATCTGGTCATTTGCTCAAAATTCAAATGACCAAGTCATTTGGTCATTTGGGTCATTTGCATATAAAGTAATTTATTGGTCAGATAGCCAATATAAAAAGTTATTAAACACTAATTAACAATTATAGCTACATAACTCGATAATAAGTACTAACCATAACTTAAACGAACTTCGGTACTGTCACGTGACAGTAAAATTTTTATGGCAATACGTACTGGGGAAGATAAAAATCTAGTACTCTAGTCACGTGATGTGCTCAAATCCCAAACTATTATCTCAAAAACTTTATTAATAATCTTTATTTAAACAAATGATATATATTCTTATAGCTATTATAGATGCCTGGCAAAACTATTTTTGCCTTGACGAAATGACTAAACCATAAGTTTCATCAAGTTTCATCAGGTTTCATCATTTCACCAGGCATCACTAATAGATCATTCCTAATAAAGGTATTACAATAAAGATGATAAGAAAAATAATCATATATTTGAATTTTTTTGAGCCTTGGGGGTTATTATTAACAATAATCGTATTATTCATATTTTGTGTAACACAATTTTCATTATGCAGTTCATCGTTAACATTAAGATGATTCTTTAAAACAACACAAACTTTACAACTGCAATTTTTTAACTCCTGTAGGGACTGATCGAATAGATTTGAGGTTTGAAGGTTATTATTAATTTGGATATTGGCTTGCACTGGAGAGACCAAATGGTTGCTGTCCTGATTATTGTTTAATTCAGTAGATTGGTATGGAACATAAGACACCGTGGCTTGAAAATTTTGATCGTTACGATTACTAGGCTGATGACTCACATAGTTTCTTATCAAATTCGAGGGTTGATCCTGAGGTGTATGAGTTCAAAAGGCTGGTTGTGAAGTAAGCATGTTATTATTGGTTAGAGGCACCATAACGTGAACGTTATTATGTCTGACTTCTTACCAGCTGTTGACCAAGTAAGTGCTATATATCTAAAACATCATAAAAAAATAAATAACAATATTTATTTTATTAAAAGGAATTTTATCTTAAAAAATTGGTTCGTTCTTACGAATATTCAACACCTTTATTATAGTTAACATGAAGATTTTTGCAGTGCTATATTATAAAAAGAATATAAACACACATCAACATTTGATTAGATTAAAAATATGACAATAGGTTATCTATTACCAAGAGCTGGGCAAAGAAATATAAGAATAAAAAGTTGTAAGACCAACAGTACCAAACAACATGTTCTTATTTTTCCTTTTGACATTTCGATCATTTTTTGAAATTAATTCAACTGTAATTTTAAACAACAAATTTGTTAATATATATGCATATGAAATAATGGTGCCTGCTAATAAATACGCACCTATGACAAATGAGAGTGAATTACGTAAGAGTGAGTTGGTTAAAAATTACCAAAATAAAAAGTCATGCTTTGACAAAGATGTAGTAAAAAATGTAATCAAATTCATTCGAAGTTATGAGGCTAAAAAATGAACTTTTTATTCATTCATTTAATGGGCGTGGTCACAATTATGGGTATGGTACACCGCAATATTTGAATCAGATTCAATTTCTTGATAAACAAATTGGTATTATCATGCGCACTCTGAAGGAAGTGGGGTAGATAAAAGATTCATTGGTGATAATGACCACAGATCATGGTGGTATAAATCGGGTTAACAAAGATGGAGACTTGTATGATATGCATGACCCTAATTTTACCACTAATTAATTCTAACAAAATTATGCTTACCAGAGTTACAAATTAATTCTACCCAAATTAAGTTTAGACCATTTCAATTTGATTCTATATTTAACATAACACTAATAAAATAATCTGCAAGTCTAAACAGGAGGGGGGTAAAAAAACATGAGATTTTGATTGGCTAAAAAAAAATTTTTTGAACAGTTAACATGATTTTTATATTAAATGATGTTAATTACCCCTATATCTGAGGCTCAAAGAGAGGGGGTTATGTTAAACATAGTTTTAAATTGGTGTGGCCTTACTAGAGTTACAAATGATTCTACCAAAACTATGTTTACCAGAGTTACTAATTAATTGATAATGTTTACCAGAGCTATCCTTTCTTGTTGACCATTTTTTAAAATACATTTGTTATTTTAATCCCAGTGTACTATGTAGACATTTTTGTGTAATGATCACAATTATCTATGCAATCACAATTATCTATTTGTCTCTGGCAGTTAGAAATAGAGGTGCGATCCGTAAACTAGTAGTTAATATAAATAAACTGTAGTTTATTGTAAAACTGTAGTTTTAAAATAAACTACAGTTTATTTATTTGTCTCCGGCAGTTAGAAAAATATCATTGATTTTGACATACTTTTCATGCACAAGTCTTTCACAATACTGATCACTTAAAAAATGATATCCATTTGTGTAACAATATGACAACCAAACACCCTCAGCTTTTTTAATGCAAAACTATTTTATTTTCCTCCATGAAAAATGTTTAAATAATACTCACTAAATTCGAAAATACATGAAAAAAAGCACTAAAATTTTAGCGTAAGCTGCCACATTTATTATAAGTTATTATTTTTTTTTTGTTATGAAAGTTACAAAATATGTTTGCTTAAATACATGTTATAGTATTTCAGCATCAATGATGCTGAAATAAATCACATAATTAATTAGTTAATTAAGTATCAATATTAAAAAGCCCTATGCTTTTTTATTTAAACCTACTAATGCTATAAAAATATTCTTTTTGATCATGACATTCAAAAGGGTATACTTTATTTTTCGAGCATTAGGAGATAAACGATGCCCTTTTCTAGGATTAATTAAAAAGGAATACTATCATAATTTGTACGAATAAGCTCGATTGTAATTTAAATTGACTCTATTGGCTGATTATTCATAAATTTCATAAAGTTTTTTTTTATAATTGAAAATTTTGTTCTGTTCAAATATAATATTACATTATATATCAGAAATAACTTTGTCTTATTTCTTTGAATTGTTAATAGCACTATCAATTATAAATCCGGAATTCGAAAAGGATGAATATATGCTAAATATTGTACTTGAGTCAGAATTTTTAGAAATGGATATTTTTAATAAACAAAATCACCCAATATAATTCAAACCAAAAATCCAACCAAAATTTATATTACAAAGAACAAATAGAAGTACTGATATTATTTAGTCAAAACAATTGTATTGTTTTTTAAAATTTTCAATTGATTAATCAAACAAATGTTTTTTGAGTTTTGCTGGTTAATTAATCGGATGGTTTATCAAAGACATAATACGAAACCTAACATTAATTCATTTTTTAATTAATTACTTGAAAAAGATGAATTTATAAATACATTTCAAATTTTGCTGTGTCTTGAATCTTTTTATAAATAGAGAAATTAAAATATTAAATTATTAAAAAAAAAATAGATTACTATTCATTATTACTCAGTGATATCGGAGCAAACAAATTATATTTTAATTACCAAACTCTAATTCACTTTTTAAATTATTAAGCGACTTAAAAAGAAAAGTAGATAGTTCCTATAATCTTGAAAAAGTTAAAAAAGAATTTGAAAATATTATATCACCTAGTTTTTTTAATTTAACTGAGTATTTTGATGATATTGTAAAAAAGAATCTTTCTTCAAAAATTTATTACAGATATAATTCTAAATACGATATCACTAATCATTTATCTTTAGAACAATTCAGTTTATCCAAAGAATCTACTTAAAAATTTTTATCAATAAATTATAAGTTAGCTGAATGGTTTTAATTAATACAAACATTATGTTATAAGTTATAAAAAATGATAATAAAGTATCCCCTGAATAAAAAAAAATTTTATCGAATTTGGTCAGGTAGTTGTCAAGATATCTTTGTTCAAAGATTTAAAAACACCTATCGAAATAGAAGCCGATCTTTAACATTTATAGCAATTTTTTTAAAAAATGTGTAACGTGTTTTCCTGATTTGAATGTCAACTGGAAACTTCTAAAGTTTTATAGCATTTGCTTAGCGTTAGTACTGTATAATTAATTATTATAACAAAATTAATCATGTAATATTACAGTACATATGAAAACTTTCTATTTAAGTCAATCAAGCACTACAATATATTGGGTTGAGATTTTTTTTTAATCCTTTAAAAGATGTTGCCGAAGACTCGAAGTAAGACAATAGAAACTCTACAAGAAAAAAATAAAAAGTATAAAAGATTTAGCCTTATTAATATATCAAATACCTAATTTAATAACAGTTCAACTTAAATCATAGGTTAAAGTTAAAATTTTCGAAATTGCAACGTACAAATGAAAAGCTGGAAAATGCATTAATTCTAGCAAATTCAGAACTTGCAAATCTTCGATCGACTATTGAAAGGTAAAGAAAAGCCTTTTCGCAAATTTTTTA